AACCCATATAAACCCTAAGCCCTCAATCCGCATGAGCCTTTCACCTGAGCCCACTTACAGTAGGAAACTATTTGCGCGCCGTGTGTGCTGCCGCGGCCTTGCTAGCAGGTTCTTTTGGAAGAAACACCTGCCATTCGTTTTAGGGTTTAGGGTTCTTTGAGAAGAAACACCTGCCATGCAGATCTACCCAGAAAATGCAGATATAAAAGAGGATGCTTTAGAATGTAGCGGTTGATAAGGATGTCTAGGGTTTAGGGTTACTTGGAGTCTTGGAGACTACAAATGTGGGAGTTGCCATACACCCCCATGTGGACACAAAATGCCATAGTCCCTTTTTGGACTGCAAATAAGGTTTCCGTATTTTTGGGAAACACCGACTGCCACAAAGCTACAGTTCTCGCAAATTCTTACCACCTCCCGCAATGCAACTAAACCCGAAGCCCTAAACTGGTCAACTTCAAGCCCGCATCGCTGAAGGAAGTTTCAAAGCATTCTCGAATATACTTTGCCGCAGCGTAACGCCTACGAATCCCTGCGGTCTTGTGCTATGATAATCCACCCTCTTACAAATTGCAAGATCTTGGAGGTGCCCCCGAGCCTCATCGTCCGGAGTCGTGGTTGTTGTTGTGGCTGTTGTAGTTGTGGTCGTGGATTTTGTTGTTGTTTTTTCAGCTAAACTGTTCTCGGCATCAGACTGTTCAATGGCTGCAGTGGTTGTAGTTGTAGTTGTAGTCGTCGTGGTCGTGGTAGTTGTGGAAGTGTGCTGGTAGTAGTCCTGCAGGTGTTGCTCGGCCGCCAGCATGTGCACCTGACACAGGGTCGGGTGGAATGTGACTTTGCAGACCCAAGCAATGGACGTACGGACGAGTCCCACCATATTCCATCATTAGATGCATCCATGAAGCGCATATGCGTACAGCTGAACCACAAGCAGGGCGTTACAAGGTTTAGCGGCGACATGAGGCTGACTACGGAAATAGCATGCTCAACAGCTTCGCTGCGCTGACCATGCTAAACAATCCTTCCGCGGCTCATCTGAGAGGCGAGCAATCAAAACTCAGTTTCGCTGATCCCAATAATTAACGCCTTCTGAAAGCAAAAACCCAAAACTACTGCTGCTGCTGCTGC